TGGCCTCTGAGGCCAACACTGCTGATATCTTTACCAAGGCCCTTCAGTCTTGTGATCATTAGCGCTTCTGTACTTTGCTAGGTCTTGTGCCTACCTGGCCTCACTTGCTCACTTCTTGATCTTGTTTGTATAGTACTCTTTCTATACCTGCACTTGCTTGTTTACCTTTATATATATGTTCTTGCATGTAAACCGGCCTTGTTGCCTTACTCTTGTGCTCAGACAGTGTGGTGACTTTGTGATCCACCCTAAGCTTGCTTTGCTTTGCTTGACTGGTCTTGTGACCACTTGTTCTCCCCCACTTTGCCTATGGGGGTGTGTCAGAACATTATAGCTTATACATTTGTGTAGGCTGTAGCGGGGTAGCTCATAAGGGGTACAACCCAATTAGGGTTAGTACTTGTACCCAACTGGTTAATAGTTCATTCATCCATTCTCGTTTCTCGTCAGTGAAAAATCTGCGCGTTTTGCAGCAGCAGCTCCAGCTCGAAGCTCCAGTTATAGAAGTCTCTCTCTTCAAGGCACAGACATGTCTTTATTTTTGATATGCTCAAAAACCTTGATTGCGTAGCGAGAATTGTCATAATCCCAACCACTAGACCATTGGGATAAAAGGGCTTGTTTTAGTAGCGGGTCAGTGCGCCCATAACCCCCCAGGCGAACGCGCCTGTAACCCTCTCCAGGATCAATCGGGCATCCACAGTGCAGATCTACTGACAAGAATTGCTACTTCGCTGGGACGAGGAGTCTTGGGTGTTGAGCCGTTTGTGTCGAGGGAGAATGTGCGGGGCGGTATTTTGGTTGTTTGAGGCCGGTTGAGAGGGTTGGGAAGAAGTTCCCGCATCGCCATTCCGCAATGTTTGGAGTCCTTGCTCCAAGCTGGTGAGTCGATGAAGCAATTGTGCGAGGACCTCAAGTCCGATCGTCGTCGTTTCCTCGCTAAAGTGGAGACAAGTCCGATCATTTCCCCGTCGTCAAAGTGGGGTATAATCAGCAGAGCAAACAGTCATAGAGCAGGTTCACAAGGGCGAGCAAAGCTAGAGGCATTCACAACGGGCACGTGAGGAGGAGGAGGATGGACTGTGAGAGGAGAGGAGATGGGAGGCGACGCCTGAAGCTGCAGACACACGGGCAGCAGGAGCAGCTGGCATAGTGGCTACCGGGACAGCGCCCCGGACTACTGGAGTAACTGGCTCTGCGGCTAACTCTAAGCGGCAGAAACAACGGACCCACGAGCGACAGGCGCAGCATGCTCTCTGGGCTACCAGGACAACGCCCCGGACTACAGGTGCTGAGGAGGACAAGACGGCAGCCTCCACTCAACCTCCTCCAACTGTCCCACCCCCCCTTTCACACACCCCTTGCTGTACCCCTAGCTCCACTCCCACGTCACCCCCCTTAAACCCTAAACCCCCGGCTCCCACACATCCACCCCCCTCAGCGGCAGCTGCAGTAGTGGGAGACGGAGGAGGAGGAGGAGCTACAGGTTACCCACACTGGTCACCCCCATGCCCGCCACCCCCAAACCCTAACGTAGGCAGGAGCGCGGGAAGCAGCAGGGGCGGTTCACGAAGGGAAAGGGAGGCGGCGGAGGGGTCTCCTGGGCGCCACAAAGGAGCAGGGCGTGGGCCCCCTGAGGGAGCCACGGTGGGTGACGGGAGGGGGGCTGCGCACGGGCCCCCGAGGGCGGCTCGACGGGCGACAGAAGGGGCCGCGCGCGGGCCCCTTAGGCGCCGCGACGAGGCGGCGGGAGGAGGGGCGGCGTGCGGGCCCCCAAGGAGCCGCGATGAGGCGACGGGAGGGGGCGACACACGGGCCCCCAAGGTGCCGCGACGAGGCGACGGGAGGGGGGGATGCGTGGGCCCCCAAGGCACCGCGACGAGGCGACGGGAGAGGTTGGCGCGCGAGCCCCCAAGGCGCCGCGACAAGGCGACGGGAGGAGGGCGACGCGCGGGCCCCCAGGGCGCTGCGACGGGCGACGGGGGGATAGCGCGCAGGTCCCCGGGGGCGCCACGACGGGCAGAAAACCGCCGTGCGAAGCAGGAAATCGCCGCGCGCCTCGGGGCGCACGGCGGGCAGAAAACCGCCGCACGCCCCGAGCGCACGGTGGGATGAAAAACGTCGCGTGCTCCGAGTGCGCGGCAGGAAGAAAGGGTCGCGCGCCCGGGGCGCGCAACAGCAGTAGAGCAGCGGAAGCAACGGGTGGGGCCCACCCACAGGATCGACCCAGGAGGGTTGACCTGCTCCGACAGCATGTTAGAATCAAGTAACAGGAATGAGAATGAAGAAAGGAGGGGGTGCACTAGCAGTAGTTGGCATACATATAGGAAACCCTAATTGGGTTGTACTCGCTATAGAATACCCCACTGCAGGCTGGAGAATAATAACATTCTGACAAGATTCGTCTGACCACCAGTTCCTCTGGCCATTCTTACGCGCAAGCGTGTGCCGGACGCCACTTTTCGTTCGTCGAAAGTTTCAGAGGTGGTAGTGCGAAGGATTCATGAGTTGCTTTCATACCATGTTGCGATCAGAAAGGGATCGTCCAAGGATCACCTCAGAAAGGTTCGCAACAAGTCTGAGTAGTGGTGGTGGGCCCTTGACCTCAATAGCAGAGTGAACGTAAAATGTTTGAGACAATAAAAACATGCAAATACAACACTATAAATAAGAGTACATGGGGAATACCAATATGTCAAAATAGTAGCACAAGTGGGGGCTAGGTTTAAGTGAGGGCCTAGGCTTAGTAGCCTTGGCCAAGGGGAGTCGAGTGAGCTGTGGCAAGGAGGAGTGTCGAGAATGGTGGTCTTTACTATAGCACAAGGGTACATATAGCAAACAAATGAAAAGGTGCACTACACTACAGCTAAAACTACATGCAGTTATAACAACATAATTCTGACACAATCGACCTAGGTAGCCATGTACTCTAAGGGGTATATTTCCTTATTACAACGTGTCAGAATCCCAACCACTAGACCATTGGGATAAAAGGGCTTCTTTAGTAGCGGGTCAGTGCGCCCATAACCCCCCCAAGCCAACGTGCCTGTAACCCTTCCCTAGGATCAATCGGGGATCACTAGTGGACCTCTGTCACCCCCCCGCACTGAGATGCCCGAAGTGCATACACCGGGATTCGAACCCGAGACCTTCGCTCTGATACCATGTCAAAATCCCAACCACTAGACCTTTGGGATAAAAGGGCTTCTTTAGTAGCGGATCAGTGCGCCCATAACCCCCCCAGGCCAACGTGCATGTAACCCTTCCCTAGGATCAATCGGGGATCATCAGTGGACCTCTGACACCTCCCCGCACTGGGATGCCTGAAGTGCATACACCGGGATTCGAACCCGAGACCTTCGCTCTGATACCATGTCAGAATTCCAACCACTAGACTATTGGGATAAAATGGCTTCTTTAGTAGCGGGTCAGTGCGCCCATAACCCCCCCCAGGCCAACGTGCCTGTAACCCTTTCCCTAGGATCAATTGGGGATCACTAGTGGACCTCTGACACCCCCCCGCACTGGGATGCCCGAAGTGGATACACCGGGATTCAAACCCGAGACCTTCGCTCTGATACCACGTCAGAATCCCAACCACTAGACCATTGGGATAAAAGAGCTTCTTTAGTAGCGGGTCAGTGCGCCCATAACCCCCCCAGGCCAACGTGCCTGTAACCCTTCCCTAGGATCAATCGAGGATCACCAGTGGACCTCTGACACAACGAACTTCAACCGCGCGACTCCAGACAGTTACGAAACTGTTCGGGCAGAATCCTCGCCACTGCTGCTGCCTGATATTGTCTGTACGACGGTCCAAATGCTTTCGTAACTGTGCGACCCTTCGTGTCACTTCCACCCTTTTGTCTTCAATCTCGGTAGTGTGTGCTTCGCTTGCTGCAGTGAGGAGTGCACAGTAATGTTTGAATAATTACTATTCGTAACAGGAAGAGCGAGTATTCATGTTTGAATTCAAACATATATATTTTAGACAACATTGTTTTTTTTTCCGAATATTGTACAAAACCATAAAATTAATTCGAAGGTTTGAAAATTTAATCATATACCTAAACAATTCATTGGTAGAGATCTCCAAGACTTCTGGTTTGCTGGTTTAAAAGATTTTCAGATTCTCTAAAACAATGGACTCCAACAATTACTGTAGAATGATAGCCTTCACCACATCCTCGTCACTGCATCCAGCGCTTTGAGCAACATCAAGCCTCCTGCTCTTGAAGTGAACCAACCCTTCACGTCAGGGGTACAAGGGCTTGTTTACAGGTCATGCATCGAAGTTCGGCCAGGTTATTAGCGGTTCAAGTCTGTGAATCTACAGAACCTCTCCAAATTGCACAGCATCGTGCTCAACCGTTTCTATGCAGCAACAACACAGCACATCTAACTCATCGTCACATCGGTGGTACCCAGTCAGCCATGGCGTCTGCTTCACATCACTTGTGCTAATCCCAGCATCACAGCAAGCACTTAGGGAGTTCTGACTGACCTCCTTGTTATTGCTGTTCCCTATCCTACGCTAACCGCCGCGCATCCGTAAGCCTGAAAAATGAAAGCGGAGTGAAAACTGCATCCATGAAAGCAGGTTGGAGGCTGTACGAATAGAACTAGGAATTCGATTTCGTTTCACCTGTGATATAGGCGCGTAGGAACGAAAAAGGAGGGTTCAGATTTCTGGTTGTCGTGGTGTTTTTTCTGCTGCCGTCACTGGCAAGAGCGTAGCGTAGCGACACATCAGCATAGTCCACTTTTATCCACGCATAACAGAAATTCGTGCGTCCGTCGAGATAAATAAGTGCGAGCAACGCTGTCGTGCGGATAAGCCACCGTCTTCGCCTCCCTGAATCGGCTGAAACAACCACCCTCTTCGCGGATACACCGTGAATTGACATCTCCACCGTTCTCAACCGCATCGTCATCACCTCCGCCATAACCATCGCCAACCCCACATCCTCGTCCCCCTCCTCCTCCCCGAGTCGCCCGCCATGAATCAGCCGCGCCGCAAGTCGGCGTTCCGCATCGAGCCGTTTCGGCACAAGGTGGAGATGGACCCGCGATACGCGGAGAAGACGTGGGGCATTCTCGAGGACGCCATCCATCAGATCTACAGCCACAACGCCTCGGGCCTCAGCTTCGAAGAGCTCTACCGGTACGCCTTTTATCCTTCTAGAGGTGCCTCGTCCCTCCCTCCGTTGCTCCCTTCCTCGACGTGCGGCATTCTCAACTCGAGAATCTCGAGGACGCCATCCACCGCATCTACAACCACAACGCCTCGGGCCTCAGCTTCGAAGAGCTCTACCGGTACGCCCTCCCTCCTTTTCGAGGTGCCGCCCTGTCCTTCTAGAGGTTCCTGGTTCCTCCGTTGCTCCCTTCCTCGGCGCGCGGCATTCTCGAGGACGCCATTTACCGCATCTACAGCCACAACGCCTCGGGGCTCAGCCTCGAAGAGCTCTACCGGTACGCCTCTTATCCTTCTAGAGGTGCCCCTTCCCTCCCTCTGTTGCTCCCTCCCTCGGCGCGCGGCTTTCTCGAGGACGTCATCCATGGCATTTACAACCACAACGCCTCCGGGCTCAACCTCGAAGAGCTCTACCGGTACGTGCCTCCTTCCTCCCTGCCTCGCGCTCTTCAGAGGTACGGTCTCCCTTCATCCCTCTATCGGTACGTACGGCCTCAGCTTCCAAGAGCTCTATCGCTGCGCCCTCCGTCCTTCCGGCGATGCCTCCTCCCCTCCCGTGCTCCCTCCCTTCCTCGGCGTGCGGCATTCTCGAGGACGCCATTTGGCGGTCTACAACCACAACGCATCCGGCCTCAGCTTCTAAGAGCTTTACGCCAAGCTAACTACTCTCCCTTTTTCTCTCCCCTCCCGTTATCTTCTCTTTCGTCTCTCACCCCCCCAACAGCAACGCGTACAACATGGTGTTGCACAAGTACGGCGACCACCTCTACGCAGGGCTGGGAGGCGCGCTAAGTCTGTTCTCTTCCCCCCTTCCACCCCCATCCCTCACCCCCCCCCCCCCCCCCCAGCAACGCGTACAACATGGTACTTCATAAGTACGGCGACCGCCTGTACGCGGGGCTGGTGAGCACCATGACGGCACATCTTAAAGGTGTGGCGGCGGCTATAGAGGCGGCGCACGGGCCACTGTTCCTCAACGAGCTGGATGCCAGGTGAGGGGGTAACAATGGGTGGTGGTGACATGGCAAACGGTGGGGCTGGTGAGCACCATGACGGCACATCTTAAGGGCGTCGCTGCTGCCATTGAGGCCGCGCATGGGCCGCTGTTTCTCAACGAACTCGATGCGAGGTGAGGGGAGAGTGAGAGAGGAGACTGTGTGTGATGCAAGGTGACACAGCAGGCTGTCTGGTTGTTAGGCAGGCTCTCGCCTATATGCAGGGCTGGTGAGCACCATGACATGACGGCGCACCGCAAGGGCGTGGCGGCTGCTATTGAGGTTGAGGCCGCCCATGGGCCTCTCTTCCTCAACGAGCTGGACGCCAGGTGAGGGAAATGAGGTAGAGAATGAGTGTGATGTGTGAATGAGTGTGATGTGTGAATGAGTGTGATGTGTGAATGAGTGTGATGTGTGAATGAGTGTGATGTGTGAATGAGTGTGATGTGTGAATGAGTGTGATGTGTGAATGAGTGTGATGTGTGAATGAGTGTGATTTGTGAATGAGTGTGATGTGTGAATGAGTGTGATGTGTGAATGAGTGTGATGTGTGCATGAGTGTGATGTGTGAATGAGTGTGATGTGTGAATGAGTGTGATGTGTGAATGAGTGTGATGTGTGAATGAGTGTGATTTGTGCATGAGTGTGATGTGTGAATGAGTGTGATATGTGCATGAGTGTGATGTGTGAATGAGTGTGATGTGTGCATGAGTGTGATGCCCGTCGCCTCTATGAGGGGCTGGTGAGCCTAAACCATGACGGCGCACCTCAAGGGCGTGGCGGCGGCCATAGAGGCGGCGCACGGCCCGCTGTTCCTCAACGAGCTGGATGCCAGGTGGGTTTCTATAGAGGTGCGAGGTTAGATTGAGGTAGGTGGTAGTACGAGGAGAATGAGGTGCGTGGGTGCTGGCGCTGCTCTGTTCAGGTGTGCGCTGGTGCGTGCATGCTGCATCCTGGTGGGCTGGTTTAACAGCTGCGATGCTCACGCATACCCTAGCCTCCTCCTGTTCCTCTATTCCCAGCTGGCACGACTAATACGGCAAGTCCCTGCAGATAATCCGAGACATGCATATGCACATGGACGGATGGACCGAACCTACCTACGTGCCCAATGTTGCCATGCTGTTACTTCTCGTTCCCTCTCTTCTCCCCCCCTTCCCCCTTCCCCCTTTCCCCCTCTCTCTCTCCTCACTCCCAGGTGGCACGACCAAGACAAGTCCCTCCAGATGACCCGACACATCCGCATGCACATGGACTCATGCTTCTATGCTCTCCCTTCTCTCCTCTCCCCCTCTTTACCTCCCTCTTTTTCTACTCCAGCTGGCAGGCACGACCATGACAAGTCCCTCCAGATGACCCGACACATCTGCATGCACATGGACCGCACTGACCTATGTGACCAATGCTGCTGCCTTTCACTCTTTTCTCGCTTTCCGACTCCTTTTCCCCGCCTCTCCACCCTTCTCCCAGGTGGCACGACTACGGGCAATCCCTCCAGGTTATCCGAGGCATCCTAATGTACATGGACCGAACCACATGCCCACTCCTGCTATGTTCTCCCCTGTCGCCTCTCTTCTCCTGTCCCTCTTCCCTCCCTCCTCCGCTTGCAGGTGGCACGAGTACGGCAAGTCCCTCCAGATGATCCAAGACATCCTAATGTACATGGACCGCACCTACATGCCCAGTGACCAATGCTGCTGCCATTTCCTCTCACCTCTCATTCCCTCTCATTCTTAGTGGTGCTGCCTTGCTCTCCCCCTATTGTTCCCAGGTGGCACGAGTATGGCAAGTCCCTCCAGATGATTCGAGACATCCTAATGTACATGGACCGCACCTACGTGACCAATGCTGATTCCCTGCTCTCCCCTCTTTCCCTCCGTAACTAACCCACCGCTCGCCACGCTTTCTCTTCCTCTTTTTCCAGGTGGCACAACTATGGCAAGTCCCTCCAGATGATCCGAGACATTCTTATGTACATGGACTGCACCTACGTGACCAGTGACCAATGCTGCTGCCTTTGGTTCTCACCTCTGTTTCCCACTCTTCTCCCCTCCTTTCTCCCCTCTCACTCCCAGGTGGCACGACTACGGGAAATCTCTTCAAATGATCCGCGACATTCTAATGTACATGGATCGCACCTACGTGACCAATCACAACAAGACACCTGTGCACGACCTCGGCCTCGCCCTCTGGCGCGACCACATCGTGCGCGCCCCCGCCATCCGCCCGCGCCTCCTCTCCACCCTCCTCTCCCTCATCCACCAAGAGCGCTCGGGCGAAGTGATCAACCGCGCCCTCATGCGATCCATATCGTCCATGTTCGCGGATCTCGGCCCCGCGGTCTATTCGGAGGATCTGGAGCGTCCGTTTTTGGAAGCCTCCGCGGCGTTTTACCGGGGGGAGGCGCAGAGGTATCTGGGGACGTGTGATTGCGCGGATTATTTGAAGGTGGCGGAGAGGCGGCTGGAGGAGGAGGGGGAGCGCGTGGCGCAGTACTTAGATGCGCGCACTGAGGGGAAGGTGACGGGCGTGGTGGAGAGGGAGATGGTGGGGAATCACCTCAGGCTGCTCGTTGATATGGAGAACTCTGGCTTGGTGCCCATGCTGGTCAATGACAAGTACGAGGTGAGAGGTGCTCCCTCCCTCCCTCCCTCCGTCCTGGTGGGGAATCACCTCAGGTTGCTGGTTGACATGGAGAACTCCGGGCTTGTGCCCATGCTGGTCAACGACAAGTATGAGGTGAGAAGGGGTTGCATACTTCCTCCTGCCTATGTGTGAGATGGTGGGGAATCACCTGAGGGTGCTCGTTGATATGGAGAACTCTGGGCTTGTTCCCATGCTGGTCAATGACAAGTACGAGGTGAGACGGGGTTGCTTTCCTTCTCCTTTTTTCTCTCCCTCCCTCCCCCTCTCCCTCCCTCCCTCCTCTTCCTCTCCCTTCTTCCCTCCCTCCCTCCCTCCCTCCCTCGCTTTGCCTCTCCCCCCTTTTCTGTTCCTCACCCACACCCTCCCCCAGCCCCCCCTTTCAGGACATTGCGCGCGTGTACCGCCTGCTGAAGCGTGCACCGCCTGCTGAAGCGTGTACCGCCTGCTGAAGCGTGTACCGCCTGCTGAAGCGCGTACCGCCTGCTGAAGCGCGTACCGCCTGCTGAAGCGTGTACCGCCTGCTGAAGCGTGCACCGCCTGCTGAAGCGTGTACCGCCTGCTGAAGCGTGCACCGCCTGCTGAAGCGTGCACCGCCTGCTGAAGCGTGCACCGCCTGCTGAAGCGTGCACCGCCTGCTGAAGCATGTACCGCCTGCTGAAGCGTGTACCGCCTGCTGAAGCGTGCACCGCCTGCTGAAGCGTGTACCGCCTGCTGAAGCGTGTACCGCCTGCTGAAGCGTGTACCGCCTGCTGAAGCGTGCACCGCCTGCTGAAGCGTGTACCGCCTGCTGAAGCGTGCACCGCCTGCTGAAGCGTGCACCGCCTGCTGAAGCGTGCACCGCCTGCTGAAGCGTGCACCGCCTGCTGAAGCGTGTACCGCCTGCTGAAGCGTGTACCGCCTGCTGAAGCGTGTACCGCCTGCTGAAGCGTGCACCGCCTGCTGAAGCGTGTACCGCCTGCTGAAGCGTGTACCGCCTGCTGAAGCGTGTACCGCCTGCTGAAGCGTGTACCGCCTGCTGAAGCGTGCACCGCCTGCTGAAGCGTGTACCGCCTGCTGAAGCATGTACCGACGACAGGGTTGCAGGCGGCGAGGGAGGAGCACCTAAGCTGACTACTCATCCCCATTACCCCTGCTTGCTCCCCGTTCGCCCTCCTTCGCTTCCCGCACCCCCGCAGGACATTGCGCGCATGTACCGTCTGCTCAAACGCGTGCCGGCAGGGCTGCAGACGATGCGGGAGGTGATGTCAGGCAGTGAGCCGACCATTCATCCTCATTGCCCCTGCTTGCGCCCCCGCTCCCCCTCCTCTCCCCCTGCCCCCCCCCCCCCCCCCCCCCCCCTTCGCATACTCCCCTGCAGGACATTGCGCGCATGTACCGCCTGCTGAAGCGCGTGCCGGCAGGGCTGCAGACGATGAGGGAGGTGATGTCAGGGCATCTGAGGGAGACAGGCAGGCAGCTCGTGACTGATCCCGACAGGTATGGTGGAGGGAGGAGTGGGAATGGGTGTGAGGGGGTGTAAGTGGGTGTGATTGTGGGCTGGATGCGGGAGGTGATGTCGGGGCATCTGAGGGAGACAGGCAGGCAGCTCGTGACTGATCCCGACAGGTATGGTGGAGGGAGGAGTGGGGTTGGGTGTAAGTGTGTGTGCACAGACGATGCGGGAGGTGATGTCGGGACACCTGAGGGAGACGGGCAGGCAGCTGGTCACGGACCCGGACAGGTATGGCGGTTGTGTCATCAGTGCACCTGGGAGGAGCATGTGCGAGGGGGGGGGGGAAGAGGAGGGAGAAATGCAGTGCAGACGATGCGGGAGGTGATGTCGGGGCACCTGAGAGAGACGGACAGGCAGCTGGTCATGTGCCCGGACAAATACGTGTGTGATTATGTGAGTGGTCGTTTTCGATGGAGTATGAGAGAAAGTGTATGTGGGAGTGCTAGAGAGAGAGAGAGTGTGGGTGTGGGAGTGTGTTTGAGAGAGAAATGGCATCTTGTTATCATGGGCCCTTGCTGTGAGTACCATCTCCCCCCCGCCCACCCACCCACCCGCCTCTTAGAGGAGAAGGACAAGTACGATTGCATTATAGCCTCCCCTCTCCTATAATGACAAGTACGATTGCATTATAGCCTCCCCTCTCCTATAATGACAAGTACGATTGCATCATAGCCTCCCCTCTCCTATAATGACAAGTACGATTTCATTATAGCCTCCCCTCTCCTATAATGACAATTACGATTGCATTATAGCCTCCCTTCTCCTATAATGACAAGTATGATTGCATCATAGCCTCCCCTCTCCTATAATGACAAGTACGATTGCATTATAGCCTCCCCTCTCCTATAATGACAAGTACGATTGCATTATAGCCTCCCTTCTCCTATAATGACAAGTACGATTGCATTATAGCCTCCCCTCTCCTGTAATGACAAGTACGGAGAAGAGGCCGCCTCATTCTTCCCCACTCCTCCCCTTCCCCACCACTCCTCTTCACTCCTTCTCACTCATCCCCTCCTCACTCCTCCTATCCTCCCCACCATCCCTCACCAAGTGCAAGGACAAGTACGATCACATCATCGCCGCCTCATTCCGCCGCTCCCTGTTGCACTCCTCCCCACTCCTCCCTCTTCACTCCTTCAGGTGCGAGGACCTGCTGGAATTCGTGCAGCGGCTGTTAGAGGAAAACGACAAGAACAATCGAATCATGCCGCCTCATGAAGGCCCCTACCCCTTCCACTCCTCCCCTCTCCTCCTCTCCCCTTCACCAGGTGCAAGGACCCAGGGGAATTTGTGCAGCGCCTCTTGGAGGAAAAAGACAAGTACGTTTGCATTATCTCGGCTTCTTTTGCTTCCGATAAAGCCTTCCACACTGCCCTCAGCACCGCCTTTGAGCTCTTCCCGTTCCCCCTCCCATCCATCTTCACCTCATCAGGTGCAAGGACCCAGTCGAGTTCGTGCAGCGGCTGCTAGAGGAAAAGGATAAATACGATCGCATCATCTCCGCCTCATTCGCCTCAGACAAGGCCTTCCACACCACGTTCTCCACTGCCTATGAGTTCCTCCTCAACCTCAACACTTCTTCCCGTCCCCTCTCCCCTCAGGTGCAAGGACCCGGTCGAGTTCGTGCAGCGCCTGCTAGAGGAGAAGAATAAATATGACCGAATCATCTCTGCCTCCTTCGCCTCAGACAAGGCCTTCCACACGGCCCTCTCCACGGCCTTTGAGTTCTTCCTCAACCTCAACGCTTCTTCCCCTCACCTCACCTTTCCTACTCCCCCTCCCCCACTCCCCCAGGTGCAAGGACCCGGTCGAGTTCGTGCAGCGGCTGCTAGAGGAGAAGGATAAATATGACCGAATCATCTCTGCCTCCTTTGCCTCCGACAAGGCCTTCCACACGGCCCTCTCCACAGCCTTTGAGTTCTTCCTCAACCTCAACGCGCGCGCTGCCGAGTACATCTCTCTCTTCATCGACGACAAGCTGCGCAAGGGGCTCAAGGGGGCCAGCGAGGAGGAGGCAGAGGCCGTGTTGGATAAGGTCATGATGCTGTTCCGGTTCCTGCAGGAGAAGGACGTGTTTGAGAAGTATTACAAGCAGCACTTAGCTAAGCGTCTGCTGTCGGGGAAGACGGTTTCGGATGACGCGGAGAGGAGTTTTATCGTGAAGCTTAAGACGGAGTGTGGGTACCAGTTTACGTCGAAGCTCGAGGGCATGTTCCTGGATATGAAGACGTCTCAGGATACGATGCATGCGTTTCACTGCGCGTTACAGGCTGAGGCTGCGGCGGCGGCGGTGGCGACGGGAGGAGGTGTGGGAGTGGTGGAGGAGAGGGGGGGCGGAGAGGGAGAGGTGGAGGATCCGGCTAGTGGGGTTGCCACCGCCGCCGCTGCTGCTGCTGCTACTGGTTTACGGGAGGAAGGAGGGGATGAGGGTGGGGAGGAGGAAGGAGAAGGGTCTGCACGTGGGGGAGCAGCAGTAGCAGCGCTCCGCACCGAACCAGATCTTGCCCTCACCGGACCGTCCGGCACGGCAGCAGGCTCGGGAGCCGGCTCGTCATCATCAGCATCGGCGGCAGCAGGAGGGGTGGCAGCGGGTGGATTATTCCAAGGGCCGACTCTATCCGTCCAGGTGTTAACTACAGGATCTTGGCCTACCCAGGCCGGTGCCAGATGCAACCTCCCCGGGGAGATCCTGCCCATCTGTGAGAAGTTCACGCGGCACTACCTGACGACGCACACTGGGCGGCGGCTGACGTGGCAGATGAACATGGGGCATGCGGACGTGAAGGCGACGTTTGAGTCGCGGAAATACGAGCTGTCTGTCTCCACCTACCAGGTGGGTTGGGCCCGTGTCAACGTACCAGGTGGGTGGGGCCCGTGTCAACGTACCAGGTGGGTTGGGCCCGTGTCAACGTACCAGGTGGGTGGGGCCCGAGTCAACTTACCAGGTGGGTTGGGGCATACCGGGTGGGTTGGTTTGCAATGACTTATTGTGAACATGGGGCATGCGGACGTGAAGGCCACGTTTGAGTCGCGGAAATACGAGCTGTCCGTGTCGACCTACCAGGTGCGTGGGGCATACTGGTTGGGAGATTTTGTTTTTTCTGTTGACTTATTGTGACCTACCACCACCAGCCAGGTGGACGTGAAGGCCACGTTTGAGTCGCGGAAATACGAGCTGTCCGTGTCGACCTACCAGGTGCGTGGGGCATACTGGTTGGGAGATTTTGTTTTTTCTGTTGACTTATTGTGACCTACCACCACCAGCCAGGTGGACGCGAAGGCCACGTTTGAGTCGCGGAAATACGAGCTGTCCGTGTCGACCTACCAGGTGGGTTTGACGGAACTTTTGAGTCGACTCAAAAGGCAGCTGTCTGTGTCCACGTATCAGTCAGGTGGGTGAATTGATCCTTTGCATTGCCTAGGTCGTTATGCCCTAGCATGTGGGTTTTGAGGCGCCTCGAAGGTTAGGTCTTCCATTGCCTAGGTCGTTATGCCCGAGCATGTGAGTGGTACAAGCTACCAGGGGGTGTGACCTGCAGCACTACTTGTTTGCATTCCCCGTTTGACTTTTGAGTCGACTCAAAAGTCACCTTTGCCCGAGCATGTGAGTGGTACAAGCTACCAGGGGGTATGACCTGCAGCACTACTTGTTTTCATTCCTCGTTTTCTACCTCATTCCCCCCCGCTCTTCCCTCACTCCCTCTCTGCCCCCCCCACCAGATGTGCACCCTCATACTGTTCAACACGCACGACTCCCTCACCTACCGCGACATTGAAGCAGCCACTGACATTCCCTCAGCCAACCTGAGGCGCAACTTGCACTCTGCTCTCCCTACCTGTCCCTCCCCAAACCCCAGATGTGCACCCTCATGCTCTTCAACACGCACGGCTCCCTCACCTACCGCGACATTGAGGCAGCCACAGACATTCCCTCGGCCGACCTGCGGCGCAACCTGCAGTCGCTGTCGCTGGTGCGAGGCAGGCAAGAACGTCCTTTTTCTCCCCTTCTTCCCCCCTTTACCTCCCCTCCTCCCCCTCCCTCCCCCCCCCCCCCCCCCCCCCCCCTCCCTTCCCCCTTTGCCCCACCGCAGATGTGCATCTTGATGCTGTTCAACACGCACGACTCGCTGACATATCGCGACATAGAAGCGGCCACCGATATCCCATCAGCCGACCTGCGGCGCAACCTGCAGTCGCTGTCGCTGGTGCGCGGGAAGAACGTGCTGCGGAAGGAACCGGTGGGGAAGGAGGTGGGGGATGACGATACCTTTCATTTCAACCACAAGTTCACCTCCAAGTTCTTCAAGGTGAGAAGGAGTATGGGAGGGGAGTGGGATGCTCTCTAAGCCTCAGCACCTTCTGCAAGAACGTGCTGCGGAAGGAACCCGTGGGGAAGGAGGTGGGGGATGACGATACTCTCCACTTCAACCACAAGTTCACCTCCAAGTTCTTCAAGGTGAGAAGGAGTATGGGAGGGGAGGGATGGGTGCACGGTTACAGTGTGTGCGGGAGAAATGGGTGAGCCCGTGGGCAAGGAGGTGGGGGATGACGACACGTTCCACTTCAACCACAAGTTCACGTCCAAGTTCTTCAAGGTGAGAAGGAGTATGGGAGGGGAGTGGGATGCTCTCTAAGCCTCTGCAAGAACGTGCTGCGGAAGGAACCCGTGGGGAAGGAGGTGGGGGATGATGATACTTTCCACTTCAACCACAAGTTTACCTCCAAGTTCTTCAAGGTGAGACGCATTTATGTGGTGTGGTAGGGAGAGCAGGCATGCACACACCTACAGTCGCTGTAGCTGTAGCTGTCGCTGGTGCGCGGGAAGAACGTGCTGCGGAAGGAACCAGTGGGCAAGGAGGTGGGGGATGACGATACTTTCAATTCAACCACAAGTTTACTTCCAAGTTCTTCGAGGTGAGTCAGGAGGATGGAGTGAGGGGAAAGGGAGCTGGATATTCGGTAAGGGACCGAGCACACCCTTCCGAGCACACCCATTTCAGCGCAGAAGGATACAGAAGGCAGAGACGAGGCAGAAGGTGGAGGAGGACAGGAAGCCGCAGATAGAGGCTGCCATCGTGTTTCCTTTCCCCCGTTCCTCATTCTGTTTCCCTGTGCCTCAATCTGCCTCCCTTTTGTCAACCTGCAGGTGAAGATCGGCACCATTTCCGCCCAGAAGGAGACGGAGCCGGAGAAGGCGGAGACGAGGCAGAAGGTGGAGGAGGACAGGAAGCCGCAGATAGAGGCGGCAATTGTTCGCATCATGAAGTCGCGACGCATGCTGGACCACAACAACCTTGTCAGGTGAGCTTATAAAGGGTACAACATTGTTGGGCAGCTTGTGAGGAGGACAGGAAGCCGCAGGTAGAGGCAGCCAACGTGCGCATCATGAAGTCGCAACACATGCTGTACCACAACACCCTTGTCAGGTGAGCTTATAAAGGGTACGGCAGTGTTGGGCAGCTTCTGGGAAGAGTTGAGAGCTGCATATAGTGGCGGTCATAGTGCGCAACACACCATAAGTCACTGTGCGTGTTGCACCGCAACAACCTTGTCAGTTAGGCTTGTAAAGGGTACTTCTAGCTGTGTTGGGCTGCTTCTAAGAAGAGTTGAGAGCTGCAGATAAAGGCGGTCATAGTGCGCAGCACACCATGAGTCACTGTGCGTGTTGCACCACAACAACCTTCTCAAGTGAGTTTGCAAAAGACAGCTGCAGTCGCGCTTTCTGCTCAACCCTGCAGTGATTAATAAAGGCATGGAGAGCCTCAGGAGCGAGAATGAGAGATTCTCACCCAGTCTCTGGTCCCTGTTTCTCCTCGCCTTTCCCTGTGCTTCTTCTGTGCTTCCCCTGTGCAACCACTGTGCGTTGAGGTGACGAAGCAGCTGCAGGCGCGATGCCTGCCCAACCCAGCAGTCATCAAGAAGCGCATAGAGAGCCTCATTGAGAGGGGGAGAGGAAGAGAGGTTTTAACCCAGCCTCCGTTCCCTGTTGCCTCTGTGTTTCTCCTGTGCATTCACTGTGCAGCGAGGTGACGAAGCAGCTGCAGGCACGCTTCCTGCTGAACCCGGCGGTGATCAAGAAGCGCATAGAGAGCCTCATTGAGCGAGCGTGAGAGAAAGAGGTTCTAATCCACCTTCTTTCCCTGTTTCCTCTTGTGTTTACCATATCGTTCGACTGTGCAGCGAGGTGACGAAGCAGCTGCAGGCACGCTTCCTGCCCAACCCGGCGGTCATCAAGAAGCGCATAGAGAGCCTCATAGAGAGGGAGTTCCTGGAGCGCGACCGCAACGACCGCAAGCTGTACCGCTACCTTGCCTAAAACGAATCTTCTATGAGACTATGACGCTTATATAGCGGTTCTTGGATGGTGTGTAATCAAGAAGCGCATAGAGAGCCTGATAGAGAGGGAGTTCCTGGAGCGCGACCGCGACGACCGCAAGCTCTACTGCTACCTCGCCTAAAACGAATCTTCTATGAGACCATGACGCTTATTTAGCGGTTCTTGGATGGTGTGTAATCAAGAAGCGCATAGAGAGCATGATAGAGAGGGAGTTTCTGGAGCGGGACCGCGACGACTGCAAGCTGTACCGCTACCTCGCCTAAAACGAATCTTCTATGAGACCATGACGCTTACATAGCGGTTCTTGGATGGTGTGTAATCAAGAAGCGCATAGAGAGCCTCATAGAGAGGGAGTTTCTGGAGCACGACCGCAACGATCGCAAGCTCTACCGCTACCTTACCTCGCTTGATGCCAGTCTTCTACGTGATGGCTGTAGTGGCTTTTTGAATGGGGTTCAATATTACGCTCAAGAGCAACTCCAGTAGTCTCCTGGAGCGCGACCGCAAAACCCGCAAGCTCTACCCGCTACCTCGCTTAAAGTGAATCTGAACTTCCGGTGATGCATATAATGGCTCTTGATTGGGGTTTATCTCTTCGCTCAGAAATGATTCTTGAAGACTCCCAAGACACATACACCCTAGAGGAGCAGGCGGGGAGGGACCTGAACGACGACTGTGAGCTCTGCTCTGCTGGTATATAGGTCTAAAGTGAATCTTCAATGCTAAGGATGGAGAATCAAGTTCCTCTGAAGGTACTGGTACCTCTTTTTGCATAATACAGAAGGAAATGAGGTACTGGTAACCCTGACTGTTGCCCTTGCTCCACTATGTGACAATTGTCCCCACAACTTGTGATCTAAATTAGCACTGTGAGATACTCAACTGCTGGCAGCTGGCATCTGCCACGAGGTCATCATGTGTGTCACTCCATGGAGTTAGTCAAAACAAGGCAGTCTGCCACCTGCTAAGGGCTGTTGACATTTTATGATTTCCTGCAGTTGCTCTTCTTAAGAGGCAGTTTGCTGGAGAGCAGATGCAAAGCACGGCATTGTAGGACTACAGGTTCCGGCCTGTAACCTTGCGGGGTGCTGCTGACACCAGTGGAGCTAGCTCAACTAAACAAGCACTGGGCAACAGGGATAGATAGCTAGAGCTTGCGGTACACATGACAGGACCAAGCTCAATTAAACGAGCACAGGGCAACGACAAAAGGGGTAGACTAGATATCTAGGCCTTCCGGTACATATACAAGAAATTGGATAGTCAGAAAATGTTTAATCATAGTTACACATTGTGAAGAGCTAAGTTGCTATTTTGCATTCAGTCTAACCGCCAAATCCGTAGAGCGTCCTACCCTGGCGCTTCAGGGCGTAAACAACATCCATGGCGGTAACCGTCTTTCTCCGCGCGTGCTCGGTGTAAGTCACAGCGTCACGAATGACATTCTCGAGAAACACCTTCAGCACGCCGCGTGTCTCTTCATAAATGAGACCGCTGATACGCTTGACACCGCCGCGGCGAGCGAGACGCCTGATAGCCGGCTTGGTGATGCCCTGGATGTTATCGCGAAGAACCTTCCTGTGACGCTTCGCGCCTCCTTTTCCAAGGCCCTTGCCTCCCTTTCCGCGTCCTGACATGGCTGTCTAGAGGCGAATCACGTAGCGAGATGAAAGGCCTTCACTGATAATGCTGGTGCTGATGAAGTGTGGTGGATTGAACCTTCTGATAACTTGATACAAAAACTCCAATGGAAGAAGTGGAAACAGATGTGCGGAACTGTTAGTGATTGAGAATGTGAGGGAGAGTTTATGGGTGCTCGTCGCGATCCCCTTGCTGCACAAGCCCGAGGCTCTGGAGACGCCCCTAGATGGATTGAGCACATGCGGGTGTGCTGGGTGGGATGGTTCATGAGGAACTGATCTAGCCGCTGATAAATGTGACAGGCTTCCAGTATCGGACGGCATTCCGTAATTGAAGCCGATCGAGAATTGATGCAACACCATGATTTTATTGGACACACTGCAGATCGTGTACTCGTTCTATTGATACCCACCAACTTATTCGAGCAATCAATCGTGGGACAAATACGAAGTGTAAACAAAGAAGTTCTCTCACTTCTTGGAATTCCCTTTTCCTTACTTCGCGTCCCTGCTCAACGCGTACATCACTGTAGCACCTCAGTCAGCACCGTTACCACTCACGACCATCGCATCATTCATCATCCCGCCCTTTTCGCACATTGCATCCCGACCTCACGGCTCGGCTGGTAACCCGCGCTCCGGGCCTACGCTTCGACACTTTCCCAACCTCAGTCCCAGGCTCGTCGCGCGACCATTACCGTTACCACTATAGTTTCGCTATATAATGTTCGCTCATGCCTTCGCTCAATTGTATTCTTGCTTCGATAGTGCAATTCTCGTTCGTTCACTCAATTGCATTCGTAACACTTGGTATTCAGAGCCTACGATCTCATCTCGGACCGCATCCACACCTTCGCTTCCCACTATCTCAATTTTTGGGGGGGGTAGACGTCTCTCAGCGACACAGCACCGCCGCTCGTAGTGCTCTCTCGAAAGCACGCACGGCCACGACCGAGGCTCTCGCTGAGCTTGCCCGACACCCCCGCCATGGCCGATTTCAATCTCGCCACGTTGACGCAGGAGCAACTCGATCGTCTCGTGCGTTAATTGGAGGATTCGGCGCTCGAAATCGCGACTCTCACGGCGGAACGTGACTCCGCCCGTCAACAGTCAACGGTGAACGTACCGACGACATCACACGCACAAACCAATGCATCTGCACATTTGGAGGAGCCCATCGTCATCTCATCCGGCACACCAACGCAACACAACAGCACGGGACAGCGCTCAGGCGCAGCCAGTGACGGCGCAGCCCAACCGATGCCCGGCATGGGAGGGAACAAGAGCGCATTAAGTCCACGGGAGCCCCGAGAAGCCCGTCGGCACGTGGAGTTTGCGGCGACAAGTGGCGAGAACGCCATGATGGCCCCAATGCCACTCAAGCCGCAACGCCCGCCCTGCTTCGACCCAAGCCAACGCGGCGGCCCGACAGTTCAATCGTGGGTCTTCACGATGAATGTGTTTTTCGACGCCAACTACGTCGAATCGGACGCCGCCAAGATCCGGTATGCGGTTTCACTACTCAGGGGCCCCGCCATGGACTGGTGGCGAGTCATTGTGACGTCGCCGCGCGCCTACGAGCCACCGTCGCACGAGGAAGGGCCCTCGGGTCCAGCTGTTACATGGAGTTCGTTCTGCGAAACCACCCAATACAGCACGTGGGATGCGTGGTGCGCAGGACTTCGGGCGCGCTTTGAGCCGATCGCGGCCTCGATTTCGGCGCGTCAGAAACTGCGCACTTGGCGCCAGCTCGGGTCAGTTCAAGACTACACCAGCGGGTTTCTCGCACTTTGCGAACAGGTCGGCTACATGCACGAGGCAGAGCGGGTGGACCGTTACGTCGGAGGGCTGAAGCCGGACATCTCGCACGAGATAATGCTACGCGGGCTCTCGAATTTCAACGAGATCCTCGCGCTCGCCGAGAAAATCGATATCCTACGCCGACCGAGACCGGGGTCCTATTACGGACATCGTCCTCGGGGACCGACCGAGCACGCCACTGTACATGCCGTCGCAGCGAATGCAGCTGCCGCGCCGTTTAGAGGGCGCTGCTTTGCTTGCAACCGGCTGGGCCATCGCAAGAGCGAATGTCCAGAGGAGCTGAGGCGTCGAGGAGCAGAGCAGGGGAGGGAGTCTCGGAGGCAGGGAAACGCCAGCAGTCAGTAGAAGTTGGGCCAACTACTGACGAGACTGCCTGCTCGCCCAACCACACCGACCCTCACCGAGTCACAGTACCGATTCACGCCATCGATCGGGCTCGGATGAATAAGGAGGGTACAGCGACGGATTGCCCGGTACTGATCTACGGGAAAATACAGGGAGCAGCAGTGAAGATCTTCATTGACGGAGGAGCAAGCCACAGCTTAGTTAATACCGCAACCGCACAAAAATTACAGTTAACGCTTAATCGATGTTTACCTGAGATAGATGCACGCTTAGTCGACGGCACGCCCCTGGCCATACGGGAAAAGGTGGAGCGCGTAAAAGTCCGCTGCGGGGGGAACTTCGGGTTTACACAGGAAATGCTCGCGACGACACTGGATGGGCACGACATTTTATTGGGACGTGATTGGCTGCGACGGTACAACCCACGGATCGACTGGACGACGGGGAGCTGCACAGTGCAAAGTAGTGGTAACTGGGTCGTTCTACCTCGCTGGCAGCCACCCAAATCTTCGTCGGTCCAGGTCAACGCCATCACGATGAAACGGGCTGTCGCTGCTGGAGCTGACGTGTACGCAGTGGATATCGCACTCGTAGAAAAAGATGAGCAGCCGAGTGATTTGGAGAAACTGCTGGCAACTGTACCGACCGAACTACAGGCACTACTGAAACAGTTCCCGGGGATATTTCCGGATGATTTACCACAGGGACTGCCACCTCAGCGGGCGCACGACCATAGGATCGAGTTAGAACCGGGGGCACAGCCAACTGTACAGCGGCAATTTCGACTGACACAGCCCGAGCTCGACGAGTTAAGGAAGCAGTTAGATTACCTGTTAGAGAAGCAGTTTATCCGACCGAGTTCGTCACCGTTCGCCGCACCGATACTGTTCACACCGAAAAAAGACGGAGGGTTCCGCATGTGCATCGACTACCGAGCGCTTAACAGGGTAACAGTCAAATCGCGATACCCCATCCCCCGCGCCGACGAACTGATCGACCAACTGCGAACAGCACGAGTCTTTTCGAAAATAGATTTACGGGGAGGTTACCATCAGATTCGGGTCGAACCATCGGACTGCGCCAAAACAGCATTTAGGACTAGGTACGGGTCATTCGAGTATACAGTAATGCCATTCGGGCTGACGAACGCGCCTGCGACATTTCAGATGACCA